GTTAAGGTTTTTTGAAGCATCGTGTAAAGAAACTGCCATATCAGCATTTTCCTCAACTCAGTTTTGGCCTTTGTTTAAAGCATCAACCATAGCTGCATTCCGTGATATAGATTATGCTCGAATGCTTCAGCAACTGTAAAGATCTTTGCCTCGCGAAAGTTCGGCTTTTGACAGGAACAAGTATACTTTTTTGAAAAGACAAGAGAAGCCTACTGCAGTTAATCATCTCAAATTCTTGAATTACACAATTAAAAAAATAAATGGAAGGAGAATTCCTAAAAGATTTACAGCCTCACTCTTCTTCCGTTTTAATAGCGATCCCTTCAGAAACCTTCTTTTGCTGGGTCTGTGTTGACTATAATGTGATTGTATTCCATAAAGTCGCTAAGATACAGTGCATAGGTTTCTTAACATTACGCAGTGAACTGTAAAAGTGCATCAAGTACATTAGCTATCAAAATGTCGCCTACTAATACTAGGGTTACTTTGGAGATATTCCTACTAAATTTCATGAAAAATGAAAGACCGCTAGATAATATGAAACGGAGGAATGAGCGTCGACATCAGTGTATATTAGATTGAAATAAATCACTAGAAGAACTGTCGTAAGTAAATGCTTGTCACCTGGAAAGATATCTGCTGAAAATAACAATGATGGAGGAGAAAACTGGCCAAGCTTCGTTTTAGAAATTATCATTAATTAATTGTGTTTTAGCGATAGCCTATCAGCCACCATTCCTGATTTGATCGCTTTAATGAATTGATTACTATAATCAGTCAGTCAGATTCGATGGTCGCTTACCAGTTCAGGTTGCAGAGACAGACGCAACCGACAGTCTCTGACTTTGAGCTCATGTGCCGTCAATTGATCTTCGCCTGAATATAACCCCACTCGAGAGGGGTGAGCTCAACTATTCGCAAGGCCCATTTCAGCCGTTTATATCCAGGAGATCAGTTTTTCAGTCAGACGGCGACTCATGGCCTTAGGTGATCGTGGGGATTAAGTAAACTTAAATACGTACAGCTACTTTATCAGACTCAGCTCTTCACGGTTCAGGTTGGTCCACCTAAAACGCTGCTGGCCATTTGAGTTCGTCAGCAGATCTCTTCCCACTTCCTGTCACCAGTAAACACGACCCTGAGGTACGTGAATTTCTTCACATGTTCCACTGCTTTTCCATTTATTTTCAGAGCACAACTAGTAAGAGTACTAGAAAGAGTTAGAGTACTTTCATTCTGTTTCCAGGTCAGCTGTCGTCACCAGAATCTGTTCAAACCGTAGTTGTTTGAATATTTCGCCCTTGTATCCGTAGAAGATAATATTTCTCATTTAATTTCTTTGGTGTAGAAATTGAATTTATGAATTGCTTCTGCCGCCAGGTCTTCCGATGTTACTCCATGGCTTGCAACGGAGGGGGCGAACAACAGGCTGATGATCGCTTGGCAACTCTGCTGCTCTCTTAACGTGTAGGTCGATTACGGGCGTCGTAATTCAGACCGTAGGATGATCAAATCTATCATCGACTTCTTTGTACCAACTTCTCTATGCCATAACTACTGATCGCTATTCGATGCTCGAAGAAGGTGTTTATAACAGATATTCCGTTGTTTGGAGAAAATCGCAGTAGTTTCTTGCCCTCACTATTGAGGTCGTTGGGCCTTTCCAGTTTTACGTTTCCAGTTTCTAGTGAATGAAGGATTCTGAATTCGGCGCTTCGT